AACTCAATTTCCAGGCTAAGCCCATAACATTCTCCTATAAACTTGTTTCTTTTTCTATTGTTTTCTTTCTCAATGAATGACACTAATACCCTTTTAGTTGTTCAAGTCAAAACCTAGACATTAACTGTATTCCTGCCTTACCTCAGGATGTAAATATAGACCATAACTACAACCTATAGAGTTAGTCTTCCGAATTTCTCAAATCTGTCCATTTCTCTTGTCTCCATCATGAACTCTATGGTCTAAGACCTGGCACCTTGCATTGAAAGCATTTCTGTGCCATACTTGGCCTCTCCCTGCACCCTTCCTCACACTGAAGACAGAGAGCTCAGGTAATTTCTTTGCTTAAAACCTTAGGCTGGCTTCCCATACTCTTTAGATAAATATAAGAATTCTTCGTGTGATCTATAAGGGCTATTGAGAGCTAACCCCTGAATAGGGCATCTACTGGTCAGTCCCAGATTTCACACCAACAAACCATAAGCTTCTATTCAGTGATGAGATTTCCAGGTAGAGTGAAGCATGGGTCTTTGTGAATGAGACAATGTCAGCCAATGGTGAATGTGGAACATGCCTCAGAGCTAACTGTTACTTGAGGCATATGGGGTATGGCTGAGTAAAGGCGGGCACAATCAAATTCACTCAAGAATCTGGTGATAGGCATATTAGAAATCTTCTGTGATTTATAAAATGCCTTTCAATATTAGTGTGCTACGCAAAATGAAGAACTCAACCTCTGGGAAACTTTTTGCTTGTGAGCAATGTTCCCCTAATGGGTGTTCCCAGGACTGCAATTGCTATTGAAAATAGGCAATGTAGAGGCTGTCGTTGGAAAGGTGCTCTCTTTAAAGTACATCAGGGGGATTATACTAAATCAAATAAGTCAGATGGAGATGACAGATCATTTCACTCACATGTGGAATACAGAGAAACAAAGCAAAGGAACAGACAAAACCTAACCAAATCAAATGCTGCAATTAAGACTGAAGAATTGAGGCAGCTAGAGGATGAGGGTGGGTGGGAAGAAGAGCAGAGCAAGGAAGGGCTCTCTGTTGAAGACTATGGGTGTGGGGCCCTCCCTGGTGGCGCAACAGGTAGGATGTAGCACTGCAAGCTAGCCATAGCCACCTGAGAGTGAGTTCAGTCCCTAGCCCCGGAGGTGATCCACATGATGCAGCAGACCTCTCCTGACCCACCCACTGCCTCCCTCAGTAGTGTACTTTGTTCATCTGCCTGTTCTGTTCCTGGCTCTGTCTCTGGTGAAGCCTCTCACCACCCCTGTACCCCAATTCTGTATGCATAAATAAATCTTTAAAAAAAAAGACTATGGGTGCTTTGGTGGTGTTGTGGTATGATCACATGCATTTGAGGAAGTATGAGCCTTCTTCCTAAAATCATATACAGTGTAGTAAACCAATGTTATCTGGAAAATAAAAAAAAAGTGCAAGAGTTTTTATTTTTTCTTCCCAAAAAGTACATCATGTACTTTTATCTTGTAGAAGTTGAAAGACTGCTGGCATCTGTAAGTTACCATTTAAAATAATAATACACATGTAATATTATTATTTTGCATCAAGAGCAAATGATGAAATAAGAGTTGGTTTATACATACCCTAATTAGGTGAATTTAAAATCTAATGACTTGGTAAAATTTAAGGTTTAGGTTGAGCTACATTCTCCCTTTAATTCTAAATTTACTAGACTATGAATTTTTCAACTTTTAAAAGAAAGGGATACTTCTGGGAAGAAAACTAAGTAATAACACAGTTTCTAGAAAATCTCAGGAGGAATAAATGGGATATATTCAGCTGTGATGACACACTTTAAGAAGGAGGATTTTGTTGTCAGATTTGAGTTCAAGTCTCTGCTTTGGTTTTCAGTATGTTATCTTGGGCAATTTACTTGATCTTTCTAAGCTTCAGTTTATGAATTTAAAATAGGAATAACAGCCAATGTTGAAGACTGAGGTGAGGATCAAATTAGATGAGTTTATTGCAATAACTGGGACATGATAAAACACTCCACAAATGTAGCTATTATCATTGATAGCTTCCCCCCCCCCCAAGATTTTAATCTATTAAATAGTTACCTTGTTGACGGGGATAATGTTTTTGACATTGTAATAGAAGCCAAAATAAACCATGTTGAAAACTCCATGACGTCCCAAAGTTGCTGTAAATCCTTTGTTGAGGCCCTGGAGTCCAAAGCCTTCCTTCTTAATGATGTGTCTTGCATAACTCATAGTAGATGGTTGCTACAGGAGAGAGAAGCAAAGCCAGAAAGATCATCTTTGGGACCATGAAATAGAGTAAATTACCATCTTAGCCTCCTTTCCAGCCAAAATTATTAGGGACTTCTCCCCTTCCCCCCCCAACATGAATAATCATGCTTAGTTTTGTGCTTTTTGAAATTAGGAAATGCAAAAGTAAACAAAATGGCATGTATAACAATAGGCCTTAAAGGGAAGATGGTTAGCAAAGAAAAAACTTCTTGGGTGGAATTAGTGAAACTAATTCAGGTAATAATGATCACCACTGTCAACATGTAAATAGTTGTATCCAGTTCTGGATTATCTGAACTAATGGAGGGATTAATTACATAGACACACTATAATCCAGAACTATGCATACTCCAAAAGGAATTTTTTGGTTCCTGAATACAGCATGTTTACTTTTCTAATTATGTTTCTCTAAAGCAAATGTTGCAATTAGCCTTGATTTCATTGCTTCAGTTATTTAAACTGGCTTTAGGTTAGAAATCAGCCATGATAAAGCAGTTGAGAGTAGGCTTCCTTGTGAGTTTGGGCCATCAGCATGCTCACCACTTACTGAGCTAATAGGCCCATCTATGGTGTGAGAAGTACCTTTAATTTATTCCTTGCCAGTGCCCTGCCTGATTGATTACCTCAGGTTGAAAGATCTTGACTACTGGAATCTAGTCTTGGCTACTTTTTGGATCTTGCTAAAGAGCTCACTTTCTTTTGCCCTGAGGTTTACAATTCATTACAATGCAATTACAATTCAGGCAACTTTTAAAAAAGTTTGATTACTTCCTTTTGGGAAGTATAGCACAAAGGATATCTCTCCCTCTTAAATTTTTTGACTGAATAATAAAGATTGGGGAATGCTCAGTATTTCTTTTCCTTTTTTGTCCATGAGGCAAGCACTGACATGATACTTGATATTTCACTAGAGCAGGTTGCTGGAGTGGTCATGGCAGTCTGATGTACTTTCTGACAAAGTGTTTTCTTATCATGTGCAATTAAGGCTGCATCAGCAAAACAGAATAGAACAAATCCAATCAAAGGTGTTTCATTCAACTTGTATTTATAGTACTTTAATTAACAGGATACATTTAAATGAGCTTGTTTATATAGTAAATCCTAGAGTTTTTGCTGATAAATGTTTTTAAAACTCTGGCAAGAATCCTATATTCAAAATCATCCTTTTCATTTGAGAGGATTAATTGCAATAAATTACATTAAGCCTAAGGGAACCCTTTTTTTGTTACATGAAAAGAACACCTGAAAATATATCTTAGAACAAGAAAAGACATTTAGAAAATGTCTTTTGGTATGGAAAAACCAAAAATATTCACAAGATTAAAGTGTTCACTTTTCTTCCACAAAATGGGATTTTTGGCATATGGACTATCAACCAGAATAATTTATTTTGTTTTTGTTTTCTTTTTTTTTCTTTAACAAAAGATTTATTTATTTATTAAGCCAGAAAGAAAAGGAAAAATATCAGATGGTTTCACTCATAGCAGGAGTATAACAGACCAGACAAGAAAGTAGTAATAATAATAATGAACAACTATATACCAGAGACATTTTTGGGGGGTGGAATGGGGGATGGCATGAAAAACGGTGAGGGGAGGGAAGTGCACTGGACTATGGTGATTGCACATGGGTGATTTGGTGATGGGAAGCCCACGGGGATTACAACTGAGATGGAAAAAGGCACAAAATGATGTAAAAATAAACTATTGTATTATTAAAAAGAAAAAAGAGTTATTTATTTATGCATATAAGAACTGGGGCACAGGCCAAAGAAGTGGGTGATGAGAGCACCCAGAGTGGAGAGACAGAGTGGAAAGAACAGGCAGATTGACTGAAATACACTGCTGAGGGGAGCAGTGGGTGAGACAGGAGAGGTCTGCTGCACCATGTGGGTCAGCTTCCTGGCGGGGAACTGAACTCTTGTTACAGTGGCTGCATAGTTTCATAGTGCTGCACTTCAACCTATTGTGTCACCATTTTGGATTCAAAAGAGACTCAAGGGCAAGTTGAGCAGAAGTTCATTTCTGTTGTGGGGAGCCAGGAAAACCTGAATAAGACCAGGCACTGCTGTCATGGTCCGAGGAAGGCAGCTTAGAGGGCAGAGGTGGAGAGGAGCTGGATGGAAAGAACAAGGCAAAGAGACAGCACTGAGACCACTGGAAAGACTGACCAGTGCTGGTGCTCCCTGGTCAGGCCCCCTCTCTCTTCCATTCTCACCTACTCAGAGATCCCAGTGGCAGGAGGAACAAGGAACTCAGAGTCCATGTGAGTCTAGAACAATGGAGGATCCAGTGGCTTTGAGTGAATGAAAGCAGAGACTAATATGACTTTCTTTTAATAACACAAGGTGAAAGATGTTTGCATTGTTTACAAATCTTACTGTGTTAAATCATAAGAATTAAAATAGAAGACTTCTAAATGTTGATGAGGATTAATAAACATGCAAATGACATTTACTGGTAGTCTGATTTTCAGACTACTTGATTCCCTGATGTTTATTGGTCTCTGTGTTGTGTGAGTACAGAGAAGCAATACATGAATTTTGAATTCAAGTACCTTGTTGAGTTTGAATTCTAGGTGTGAGTAATTAAGTAAACTCACATAGAAGTTCTGAGGACCCTCTAGGGTGGTGCAGGGGACATGATAAAACACTCCACAAATGTAGCTATTATCATTGATAGCTTCCCCCCCCCAAGATTTTAATCTATTAAATAGTTACCTTGTTGACGGGGATAATGTTTTTGACATTGTAATAGAAGCCAAAATAAACCATGTTGAAAACTCCATGACGTCCCAAAGTTGCTGTAAATCCTTTGTTGAGGCCCTGGAGTCCAAAGCCTTCCTTCTTAATGATGTGTCTTGCATAACTCATAGTAGATGGTTGCTACAGGAGAGAGAAGCAAAGCCAGAAAGATCATCTTTGGGACCATGAAATAGAGTAAATTACCATCTTAGCCTCCTTTCCAGCCAAAATTATTAGGGACTTCTCCCCTTCCCCCCCCAACATGAATAATCATGCTTAGTTTTGTGCTTTTTGAAATTAGGAAATGCAAAAGTAAACAAAATGGCATGTATAACAATAGGCCTTAAAGGGAAGATGGTTAGCAAAGAAAAAACTTCTTGGGTGGAATTAGTGAAACTAATTCAGGTAATAATGATCACCACTGTCAACATGTAAATAGTTGTATCCAGTTCTGGATTATCTGAACTAATGGAGGGATTAATTACATAGACACACTATAATCCAGAACTATGCATACTCCAAAAGGAATTTTTTGGTTCCTGAATACAGCATGTTTACTTTTCTAATTATGTTTCTCTAAAGCAAATGTTGCAATTAGCCTTGATTTCATTGCTTCAGTTATTTAAACTGGCTTTAGGTTAGAAATCAGCCATGATAAAGCAGTTGAGAGTAGGCTTCCTTGTGAGTTTGGGCCATCAGCATGCTCACCACTTATTGAGCTAATAGGCCCATCTATGGTGTGAGAAGTACTGGTTACCTTTAATTTATTCCTTGCCAGTGCCCTGACTGATTGATTACCTCAGGTTGAAAGACCTTGACTACTGGAATCTAGTCTTGGCTACTTTTTGGATCTTGCTAAAGAGTTCACTTTCTTTTGCCCTGAGGTTTACAATTCATTACAATGCAATTACAATTCAGGCAACTTTTAAAAAAGTTTGAATGATTACTTCTTTTTGGGAAGTATAGCACAAAGGATATCTCTCCCTCTTAAATTTTTTGACTGAATAATAAAGATTGGGGAATGCTCAGTATTTCTTTTCCTTTTTTGTCCATGAGGCAAGCACTGACATGATACTTGATATTTCACTAGAGCAGGTTGCTGGAGTGGTCATGGCAGTCTGATGTACTTTCTGACAAAGTGTTTTCTTATCATGTGCAATTAAGGCTGCATCAGCAAAACAGAATAGAACAAATCCAATCAAAGGTGTTTCATTCAACTTGTATTTATAGTACTTTAATTAACAGGATACATTTAAATGAGCTTGTTTATATAGTAAATCCTAGAGTTTTTGCTGATAAATGTTTTTAAAACTCTGGCAAGAATCCTATATTCAAAATCATCCTTTTCATTTGAGAGGATTAATTGCAATAAATTACATTAAGCCTAAGGGAACCCTTTTTTTGTTACATGAAAAGAACACCTGAAAATATATCTTAGAACAAGAAAAGACATTTAGAAAATGTCTTTTGGTATGGAAAAACCAAAAATATTCACAAGATTAAAGTGTTCACTTTTCTTCCACAAAATGGGATTTTTGGCATATGGACTATCAACCAGAATAATTTATTTTGTTTTTGTTTTCTTTTTTTTTCTTTAACAAAAGATTTATTTATTTATTAAGCCAGAAAGAAAAGGAAAAATATCAGATGGTTTCACTCATAGCAGGAGTATAACAGACCAGACAAGAAAGTAGTAATAATAATAATGAACAACTATATACCAGAGACATTTTTGGGGGGTGGAATGGGGGATGGCATGAAAAACGGTGAGGGGAGGGAA